TCTAACATGCTTTCCTGCCCTTGGCATTTTGCCTTTTATATTGTAAGAGAAGAAAGACTGTAAGAGACATAAGAGAAGGGGCTGGGGTTGTGGCTCAGTGGTAGAGCACTTGCCTAGCATGTGTGAGGCACTGGTTTCAATCCTCAGCACCACATAAAAATAAATAAGTAAAATAGAGGTTAAAAAAAGAGGTATAAGAGTAGATTCCCTTTCAAGGAAGAGACAGTAGAGGGAACCAATACTAATAGCAGATCTGCAGGAGAGAAGGCTACAGTAAGGGAACACCTGTGACCTGACCTGTTTGTAATTACATCACTTCCCCAGAAGTAGAAGGTTATTCCTTGGAAATTCATGATGAAATTACCAATGTCCACGTGGGGGATCTATGCTGTCCTATTCATCTATGAATAGGACATCTATGACTGGTCCCCTCATACTTTAGAGAGAGTGACATTACAACATTCACTGCTTCAGTCTGTAGTCCCACTGCACACTTCAACTCCATTGCCTCAACCCCAAATCATGTACCCCAACTAGCACTCTCAACACAGTATGATTCTCTAAATACTCTGTAAAGGCTAAATACTGTTTTGTTTGTTGATCTGCATTGGTGGTTTTCAAAGTGTGGTCCTCAGACCATCACCAGCAACAGCTGGGAACTTTCTAGAAAATACTAATTTTTAGGCTCCATTCCAGAACTACTGAATCAGAAATTCTTGGGATGAGTTCTAGCAATCCTTTAATAAGCCTATCATGTGATTCTGATGTAAACTGAAATTTGAGACCCATACTCTGAAAATTCTTTAAATAATGTAGCAAATGTAAAGTGTTAACTTCTGAGTTAATTAATTAATAATTATTTTATTTCACTTTTTTTCATAACTTCCAAAGTAGTATTTGTTGGTTTACCAAATGAATATCTTTACATGGAAAAATAAGATTGAAATTGGTGGTCAGTGCCATCTGGTGATCAAACTTAGAATTGCAGCTTGGCACCCTGGCTATTCTTGCCTCCAAGAGTCCTAGAATTAGAGTAAGTTATACTCCATGTATGCATAATATGTCAAAATACACTCTGCTGTCTTGTATATCTAAAAGAACAAATTTTAAAAAGAGACTTAGGAAATATAGAGGGGGAGAAAGAGGACTATCCTCATGGAAGCTCAGAGGAGAAACTTTCTGGAAGTTGTATGACAAAGGAAGCATTAGGTGATGATGCAGACAGGGCCCACAGACATTTAATCTTGTGATACAATATTTCCTTAGGCTCCTCTCTCTGATTCAATGTAGTTAAGTTAATGTGCATGTGTGGTTATAAATATCAAGCTCCTTTTTATGTTACAATATATTTAGTATCTTTTACTATCCATATATTTTTGCAGCATTAGTTTTAGAAATCAAACTACAATCAGTTTTATCATATGCTGGCATAGTTTTATCTTAGTAATTTGCTAATTAAAATTCTGTGTAAGTGTTCTCTCAGCACTTGGCAAAACTGCAGAAGGATAAATGTAAAGGAGGCATTATCTTTGCCTACTACCTTATTGTATCTTGCCTCAAAATAATCACTCAATTGATTTTTAAATACTTTCCAGATGTTTTATGTGGGTTTCTTTATATTTAAAAATATAATAATAGGGGCTGGGGTTGTGGCTCAGTGGTAAAGCACTTGCCTAGGACATGTGAAGCCCTGGGTTTGATCCTCAGTACCACATAAAAATAAATAAAATAAAAGTATTGGGTTCAACTACCATCAAAAATAGTTTTTTTTAAAAAATATGTATATTCTTATGAAAATATGTATTCTTCAGAAATCAGATATCTTTGAACAACATGTTCTGTATATTGCTTATATATTTATATACCTCAGTGCTTTTATTATATTTCTTGAAGTTTTGGTGTGTTTGAGCAATTTAACATATGTCGATTGCCATTCATTTTTCTTTTTTAAATTACCTGTTGTCATAGGTGAACATGACTCTTTTGGCTAGTCTGATTTCCCTTTGTCAGGCAGATTAATTATGTCTGTAAATTATGTTACAAATGTGTCTAATTCAAGCACTTCTTCTAGTATCCTAATATGAACAGACACTTTATGAATGGTCTCCTGGGAAGGGGTACTCTGAACATTCATACTGGACTTATCACTGCTGAGATGTGTATAAGGGAGATGACATATACTGGTTTTACTTACTTTTGAGATCCTGACCACTGCTGTAGGAATATTACACTTGTGTACATTGTGACCTCTTTGTTATGACCCTAGACACTTTTGCTCACCAACACTGTGAGATATGAACAGGGTTGTAGCCACTTAAATACAGTAGCTCTTACTATGAATTATATATTTTAAAAGAACAAAGAAGAAAGAAAAAAATGGTTATTTCAGAATGGGGTAATCATTGTTTATTGAAAAGTATTTCATAATCAGTATTTCGAAAAGATATTTGGGGGTTAATTCATTTTGCCAAATTCAAGCCTCGGGATATTAATCATCCTGCCTGCCCTCCCACCCCAACAGAAAATATTAATAATAATTTGATGTATATTCATCTGATTTTTGTGTATATCTTAATATAATACAGATATATTTATTCAAATGTAAGCCCAATATTCTTTTATAAACTTATGACTGCCCTATAAATATTGTGTTGATATTTACCTGTTTCATGTAGTCTGAGAGCTTATTTAGCATTTAATCAGTTCTATCATTGGGCATGTTTTCAAGTGTTTTATTGGGATTTTATGTTATATTTTATGTGCATACTCTGTTGTAAGTTTTGGCCTATTTCTCTGTTATGCGTTTGAGGATATTAACCTCATATCTGTAGTAAAAGTTGCAAATATTTTATATACTTTGAATTTTTAAATTTTGCTACGCATTTAGTAATTTCTAGGTAGATGACAGGTAAATGGGTAGATGACAGATAAGCAGTAAAGCTCATCATTAAAGAAAAATCCTAATCAATACTCCTAAGTTCATTGATTGTCTTCCAAGATAATAGAGCATAAAAATATTGGTTCTGTTTAATTACAGGTTTTGAATTCCTGATAATTAATTGACAAGGTTCTTTCTCCAGGAAATTTGCTTAACTTCTCAGTTTTATTTTAAGTAATTTCTTGTCCCCTTATTTTCCTCCTTGTTTGAACAATTTCCATCTAATTTTAGATAAGAGTATAAATGTGAACAAAATAATATCCGTGCCCACTGCAAAACCACAGGATCTTGGGTGAGCCTCTTCTACACTGGCCTCAGCCTTAACACAGAAGAACACTCAAATTAAAAACAGTTGTTATGGGTGCAAGATTTGGGAGGAGACAGAGGGATTTGACCTAGGAACCCTCTGTTGTGGGATTTGTGATCTTGAATAAGTAATTTACTTTCTTTACTCTCTGTAAAACAAGTATACATTATATTTATTACAAAACAAAACAAAAATTCCTCTTGTGCTAAAGGGGAATTGTAATGGTACCTGCCCCCTTGAGGTTGTGGTGAAAATTAAAAGAATGACTACATTGAAGGCAATCAGAGCAATGTCTAGCACCTTCTAATATTCAGTGTATGCTTGCATCATTCATTATGATTACCAGGACCCCTCCCAGCCATTCAAAAGATAAATCATTGGGGTTTGCATTGCCAGGTAGTGCAATTATTTGGTAGTGGGGCAATTTCATTATTGTTGAGAACAGACTGGTTGATGTACATTGCCATCCAGCGCATTCGGAGGCATAGTTCAAGAAATTGGACAGGTGCATAAAAATCAAAACTCAATATTTTTCCCATGTCACATGATTTAATATTAAAAGTCAACAGGACAAGGATAGCATAAAATTACATATACATCATGGTTCCATGAAATTTGGATGTAATATATATACCATGTATTAGCACATATTCAAAGAAACAAAAAATAAAGGAATGAAACACAACAAATATTAATGTTTTTTTTCAGTGATGGTGGAAGTGCTGGTTATTGTATAATTAAACATATTTTAATCAGTTGGTAAAATGAGTATACATCAGATTTATAATAAAAACTAACCTCTAAAATCTTTGATACTTATCAAACATACCAAATATACAAGTGTTACAGAGAGCTATAAAATGAAGGTTTATGTACCCAATACTCATACTAAGTAATAAACTTGACAAATGCTTTGGGCCCTTCCCCTAAATTGTACATTGTCTTTTCCTTTACCCTGAAGATATAACATAACCAGAATAAGTTGTTCATCCTCTCCACAAGTTGCTTTATATTTGTATTGTGAATGAAAAGATCCTTAAAATGTTATATGTATATGTTTTATATTTATTTATTTCATACTGTAGGTGTTCTTATCTTTCATTTGATAATTTTATTTAACATTACATTTTCTGAGATATCTAGATAGATAGATAGATAGATAGATAGATAGATAGATAGATAGATAATCTCCTTATTCTTATAGGTCTGGGACATTCTTTCTCTCTGCTATGTAATATTATACTCAAAGAATTCATCTCAATGTATTATTTGGATAACTTTGATGGATGTTTTGGTTTTTCATTCTTTCACAAACAATACAACAATGAATATTATTATATATGAGTCAGGCCATGTGCCCACATGCCAGATATTCTCTAATTACCTGTTACTCAAAGCACAATCCATTAAATAGCAGCTTCAGAATTACTTGATTTATTAGGGTTCTCCAGAGAAACAGAACCAATAAGGTGTGTGTGTATGTGTGTGTGTGTGTTTGTGTATTTATTGGGAGTTTGCTCATGAAAGAATGGAGCCAGGAATGTCCCAAATCTACAGAGAAGTCCAGCAGACTGAACACCCAACAAACAGCTCCAATTGGAGGCAGTCTGTAGCAGAATTCTCTCTCCCTTGGGGTAAGTCAGTCATTTCTTCCTCCAATATCTTTGAAGGAGGTTGGATGAGGCCAATCCATACTAGGCAGGGTAATCTGCTTTACTCAAGGCCTGCTGATTTAAGTGCTGATTTCATCTAAAAATGCCATCACAGAAACATTAAAAATGTTCTACCAAATATCTGAGTATTGTCACCTACCCAAATTGACCTATAAAATTAAGTATCACAGCTGGATCCTGTTACAAATGTAGATTTTAAGGCCTTAGCACAACTTTCCCAATCCCCAGAAAGTGTGTCTTCCTACCATTTCATCATCACATTCCTTTGATGCAGTTTAGGATGCTAAAACACCCAGACACTTTCTCTATTTTTTAAATATTTATTCTTAAGCTTTAGGTGGATACAATATCTTTATTTTATATTTATGTGGTGCTGAGGATGGAACCTGGTGCCTTGTGCATGCTAGGCGAGCACTCTACCACTAAGCCACAACCCCAGCCCCAACTTTCTCTATGTTTTTATATTCTGGTGAGGGTGGGGACTAGTGTCTAACATTTCCTGTTCTGAGTCTGAGTTTCATGCCTTTGTATATTCACTGTGGGAGTGAAGGGTTCACAACTACCTTCTGGTTTTCTCCAGTAGACAGGTTATGGGAGGGTATAATCACAAGGGGTAATGTGTGAAAGGGAAGTCTGTGTGGAGGGGAATAATGCTAAGCCTTCTGAGAAGCAAAATAGGAGGAAAGGAATCCATGTTTACAATGATAATCAGCAGTTAAGCATAGGGCTGAGGGTTGGAGCTATGGGCGGCGTCCCAGGAGTATGGGGATCAGTTCAGAAACAGATTTTGGAACAAAGAGTTAGGAGTGAAGAGTAATAAGCAGGACCCAAGGGTATTCTGAGGAGAGGCACACAATTGGAGTGAGTTCTGGAAAAGAGCATCATCAGGGCCACTGTCCCTGGTGTTCCTGTAGGCACTCCTGGGTCCCCTTCCCCACAGAGGCTGCTGGGCCCTGATGGGTCACGGGCAGAAGTCCACTACCTACCCTCACATGTAACCTTTGTAAGAGGTGCACTTTTTTGGAGGTGTCCATGAACTTGATGCTTTTGTACGTGATGGACAGGAAGGGAAGTGACATATGGAAAATAATACCACTATTAGATCTAAGCTCATGTGAGTTCTGTAGTCTCAGCATCCTTCTCACCTTATCCCTAAGCAGACTGTTTAAGGACCCAGGGAAATGAACATAGGAGCTGTAGATGGACCTTGCTGGCCACAGCTTCCATTTGCTGACTCCTACACTAATCAGTTCTCTCACCAGACACTATATGCAATTAACCCCAAATTAACAATGTCAAGAATAAAAGATCATCACATATATCCTATAAAATTGATAGCATGTGTGATTGTAAACAACTTTGTGTCAATAATGGATATAAATGGGTACATGCATTATGAATCTCTCTAAAATATTTATCTCTATATAAAATATTTATATGTGTAAATATGTATGTATATAGGATGCAATTGTTCTGTGTGGGCACTAAAAATAAATATGCTTAAGTAGATGTTCATAAACAATGTATAAGTATACCTGCTGTCCCCAAACCACAAATTTCAGTAACAATATTAGAATCATCATTTACTCTTCCAAGAAATATCCTAAGGGAATATTTGTAGATAGAAGTGTGTGCGTGTTTGTGTGTGTACATATTTATATACCAACTCACCTGGGGGGCATCTCAGGGTTAGCATTTGCTTGCCTGGTGGCATGGGCCTAATGATAGCTGTGGGAATTAGCAGGTGGGTGATTGGAAGGAAACCATGCTTTCTGATCTGGCTAGGGAAGGAGTTTGAGGATGTGGAAGCCTGATGGTAGAGGAAGTAGAGGATCCATGCCATGGTTTCCATGGCTCCTGCCTACTAGGGAACCCAGATAGCTGAGAGAGCCTGAGTTGAGCCAGACACTGCGATTGTTCAATACCATGTGAGGCCATCTCTATCCCTTCCTATGAGGCCAAGAAGTATGTGGTGTAATCTCTGTTCCCAATGTAAGAAGGCCAAGGCTTAGTGAGTTGCAGGAGCTTGGCTCTGACCACTGAGGTCCTATTTGGAAGAACAGTTGTCATTATTCTTTATGTAATGCCAACTGTTGCCTCAGTACCAATTTTTCAGAAATCCACACTTCAATATCTGGCTCCCTACTGGAAGCATATATAAAAATCCAAAAGTGTCAAGTGGTAAGAAATTATTTCTGCCAAACACCCAAGAAGTACAGGCAATTATTGCCAACTGGTGGTGCTTCACCCATGTCATTTATAGGATAACAACTTGAAAATCTTGTACTGCTATTATTTTACTTTAAAAAATTATACCTGTTTTCTAAAGTGCAAGCATTCCAGAAGTGTGAAGAATATAGTATGCAGATGGCATGTTCAACAATTGCATGGAATTTGGAACTTCTAACTGCCAGTCAATAGGAATATCCCATAGGACCACACCATTGTTGTTATTTGTCAATGAACACAACACATGTGGTTAAAGCCACTCAAGATCATGGCCCTGAGCACCTGCTATCAGCTCTGTGAGGGATGCACTGGGCAGACATGCTGATTCTTCCCCTGCAAGTGCTGACTGCAAACTCCTCCCAGAGCACCTTCAGGAAAGGGAAAGGGTGGAAAGCTGGGTAGGGAGACAGATGGAAGGGTGGGAAAAGCTGTGGAAAAGCCCATTTCCCATTTACCTATGTGCATCTCACAAAGCTAAGCATGGTACGGTCTATGAAAATGCTCACATGATTAGGAATGAGAAGTAAAATATGTGAGCCCTCACCTACCTAATTTCCTTCCTTCCATCCGTCCACAGCCCCTGAAATCCAGGAAGCATCCTTTGAGAAGTTTCTCTTGTGCCAAGTCACACCCTAGCTTCTGAAGAGCGCTGGGTAGAGCATCTCACAGTCTCAACATCATCAAAGGCCAACATGGTATATACGTGTGTCCTTTCTCATGAAAATTTATTTACAAGTACCCATGGAAGAAAGCCTAAAAAGATCTGCTTAAGGACAGCCAGGACAGCATCCCTCACAGAAGTGATATTGATGTTCTCTCTTCATGTTCTTGAAGGCCTTCAGCCACTTATTTTCACATTCAAATAACAATAGCACAGAATCTCATATCATATGGTCAGTTCTGTTGGATCTTTCCCAATGACTGGCAGTTAGCAGTTTCAAATTTCAGGCAAGTTTTGAACCAAATTTATTCTCCACACTTCTGGTGGGAGCAGGGGTGCCCAAGTCCTCACTGGCTTACAGCTATGTCAAAGAAGAGCAATCCTGGGCACAACAACATGTAAAGTGGAATATCAATCTTTATTATGAAAATAAACGGCCACTTTCAATGGGGAAAACAGAACAACTGGCCCTTAGGAAGGCTATGTTTACCTAGCCTACAGGTTAACTTTGGCTTCTTGGTCAGCTAGATCTCCAAAGCATCATAAACTTAAGTTGGTGACAGAGAAACAATGATGTGGATGAAAAGAACATCAATATTCAAGGGCTCCTTTCAGGGTAACTGTTTGAAGGCCTCTTCTGGGATCTTGCCCTCCGTCTGGAGGGAAGGAATTGGAATGTCAGAAGAGCTAGGTGCCCTAAGTTCCATCCACCCAATCTCTATTTTACTGAAGGCCCACAGACATACATTTTTTACCCTCTTGGCCCCCAGGTCTCACCTGAAGCATAATGAAGACCTGACCAGCTCTGGTGTAGTTCCACTCGTTGTCTTCAAGGCACCTTCAGTGAGAGAAGAACAGGTGATCTCCATTATTACCATAGTACAGACACACTGGCCACAAAATGCCATCTCTTAACCTATGCTGCTCTTTTGCTGGGATGCATGTACTAGAATGAAGACCACTATAATGATGAAAAAAGACCTTGTGAAAACCAAAATGTCTGTCACTATCATTCATGCTCACCCAAATTCAAAGCAGAAAAATAGGGATGTTCAAAAGCATCGATCATCCTGATAAAAAGATGCTCAAGAATATAACAAATTGAAATTCAAAAATAAAGAATTCCAATCCCTTTAAAATTGTAGATAAAAGACACATTTACTCTCTTCAGGTGTATAATTTAATGGTTTCTAGCATATTCACAATATTGTGTGATTTCCTCATCTATCAAATTCCTCAAAAAGAAACTCTTAACTGTTAGAGATAACTATTCTCCCTCTTCTCCCAGACCCTGGCAACAACAACTCTTCCTTATATCCTGGACATTTCATATAAGTGGAATCATACCATGTGTCTTTTTGTGACTGATTTCTTTTACTTATTATATTTTCAAGGTTCACCTATGTTATAGCATGTATCAGGACTATATTATTTTTAATGATTGAATAAAATTCTAGTGCATGTATGTACCACATTTATTTATTTGCTCATCACCCTTGAGTTCTTTCTACTTTTCATCTATTAGAAATAATGCTGCTATGGACATACAAATTTTTGAAAAAAAGATACATTATCATTATTCATAGTATATGCTTAGGAATGGGATTACTGGGCCACTCCATGTTTAAAATTTTGAGGAACCACTAAAATGTTTTAATGGTAACAGCTTCACTTTACATTCCCACCAGTAATTTATGAGGTTTTTAGTTTTTCTACAACTTCACGAGCATTTATCTTCTTTTTCAACTATTAAAGTCATTTTTGTGTGAAGCAGTATTTCATTATAGTTTCGATTTGTATTTCCCTAATGACCATTGATGTTGAGTATGTTTTTATGTGATTTGCTTGGTCATTTATATATCTTCTTTGGAGAAACATCTATTCCAATGATTTCCCCACTTTCAATTTTTTTTGTCTTGTTATTGTTGAGTTGTAAGTGTCCTCCATATATTCTGGATAGTACTATTTACTTCCAAACGTTTTCTCCATTTCTCTGGGTTGTATTTTACTTTCTGGATATTGTCCTTTGGTGCAAACAACTTTTTAATTTTCATGAAGTTAACCATATCTATTTTCTTCAGTTGCTTGAGCTTTTGATATCATATGAAAGAAACTATTGCCTAATCCAAGGTCATCAGGATATAAACTTCTATTTCCTTCTCAGAGCTTTTTAGTTTTAGTGTTACTTTTAGATCTTTATATTTGATCCTTTGAGTCAATTTTTGTTTGTGATAAGTGGAAGGGTTCAAAATTTTTTATCTTATAATTTTATATACATATAATTATCTATTTGTCCACTGAATAGATGCACCATTTATTTTAAGGAAGATTATTCTTCATTGTTTTCAAAATTCTTTAAAAATTATTTTTTTAAGATTATAAAAATTATAAAAATTAAGATTGTAAGGTTGTAGCTCAGTTGTAAAGTGCCTGCCTAGCATGTGTGAGGTACTGAGTTTGATTCTCAGCACCACATATAAATAAATAAAAATAAAGTTCTATCAACAACAAAAATAATTTTTTAAAAAATCAATTGAAAATGGGAGTTCATAACCCACTTGAATCAAAGTGTGAAATATGATATATCAAGAACTATGTAATGTTTTGAACAACCAACAATAAAAATTAAAAAAAATTAAAAAAAAATAAATTGACCATAAATGTCAGGGTTTATTTTTGAATTCTCAATTTTATTGCATTGATCTACATATCTATTCACATGCCAGTACCATGCAGTGTTTTAAATTTTTATTTCGGTTTGTAGTGCTGGGGATTGAACACAGGGCCTCTCTTATGGTACACAAGCACTCTCACTGAACTGCATCCCCAGTCCACCCTGCAGTTTTGATTACAGTAACTTTGTACTAAGTTTTGAAACAGGGAAGTATGAGATTACTAATTTTCTCTTCTCTCTAAAGACTACTGTGGCTATTCTGAGACCATGTTTTGAAGTTAGGTAGCATAATGCCTCCTGCTTTGTTCTTTTTGCTCAAAATGGCTTTGGCTATTTTTGTGTTTGTGTGTGTGTGTGTGTGTGTGTGTGTGTGGTTCCATATAAATATTATATGTTTTTTTCTAGTTCTATGAAGAATACCATTGACATTTTAATGATTTTTTAAAATATTCTTTTAGTTGTCAATGGACCTTTTATTTACTTATATGTGGTGCTGAGGATGGAACCCAGTGCCTCACACATTCCAGGCAAGTGTGCTACTGCTGAGCTACAGCCTCAGCCCTCCATTGACATTTTAATAGACATCACACTGAATCCATAAATTGCTTAGGGTTAGTATGGGCCTTTTAACAATATTGATTCTTCCAATTCATGACACAGTATGTCTTTCCATTTTCTTTTGTCCTCTGCACCTTTCATAAATGCTTTATAATAACCATTGTAGAGATCATTCACCTCTTTGGTTAACTGTATTTCTAGTTCTTTTAATTTTTGTAGCAATTGTAAAAGGTATTCCTTTCTTGATTTCTATTCTGTATAACTCACTACTGGTATATAGCAACACTATTGATTTTTTATGTTGATTTTGTATCCTGTAACTTTGCTGAATTCATTTATTAGTTCTAATTTTTTGTTGAGATTTTGGGTTTGCTACATAGAACGTCATGTCATCTGTAACTGTGACATTTTGATTTCATTTTTTACCAATTTTTCTTATTTTTAATTATTTTTATTTTTATTAGTACATATTATTTGTACCTATTAATAGAGTTCAGTGTAATACTGAACAATTCATATTTTATGTTTCAAAGGTGATTTATTTATTCATTTGTATGGAGTATATTAATTTTACAAAATGGTAGATTTCATTGTGGCATATTGGTGCACAAATAAATATATAATTTGATCAACTCCACTTCCTAATAACATCCCAACATCCCATCTCAGCTCTCCTGATTCTCTTCCTCTACCCTACATGTCTCTCTTCTACTTTCATGGCATCCCTATTTTCCCCCTCCAGTTTCCACAGATGTGGGAAAACATGATAGCTTTCTTTTTGAGTATGACTTATTTCACTTTGAATTATAATCTCAGTTCCACTCATGTACCTGCAAATTACATAATTTTGTTCTTTTTTATGGTTGAATAAAACTCCATCATGTATACACCACATTTTCTTTATCCATTCACCTGTAGACAGATACCTAGGTTGGTTCCATAACTTGGCTATTGTGAATTGTACTGCTATAAACTTGGGTATGTATACATTTCTAAAATATGCTGACTTTAATTCTTTTGGATCAATACCAAGGAGTGGTAAAGCTGGATAATGTAGTAGTTCTATTTTTAGTTTATTAAGGAACCTCCATACCAATTTCCATAGTGGCTGTAGTAATTTACATTCCCACTAACAGTATATAAGATTCTTTTTTCACCATATCCTCACCAGCATTTATTGTAATTTGTATTCTTGATGGTTGCCATTCTAACTGGAATGAAATGGATTTGATTTACATTTACTTGATTGCCAAAAATGTTGAATATTTTTCATATAATCATTGGCCATTTGTACTCTCCTTTTGAGACATATTTGTTTAGTTCATTTCTTAATTGATTGCATTTTTTTAATGTTGAGATTTTTGAGTTCTTTCTATGTTCTGGATATTAGTCCTCTGTTGGAGGAGTAGCTGGCAAAGAGTTTCTCCCATTGAGTAGGTTCTCTTTGATATGCAGAAACTTTCAGTTTGATGCCATCCCATTTATTGATTCTTTCTCTTATTTCCTGAGTTATAGGGATACTATTTATGAAGTTTTGCCTGCACCTATATTGAAGTGTTTCCACCATTTTCTTTTCCTTCTGTCAGTTTCAAAATTTCTGGTCATGTACTTAAAGAATTAAGACCATTTACATTCATTGTTAATATACAGAGGTATATGTTACTTCCTGTAATTGTGGTTTATTTCTAAGGTTTGAATCATTTCTATTTCTCAGCAGCTTATTTATTTTTCTAATGTGATTTATTCTTTCTCCTCCATTCTTTCTTATTTTTATCTTACTCTTCTCTGTATAGGATTCTTTGAGTATGTTCTACAATGCTAGTTTAATGATTATGAACTCCTTTAGTTCATGCTTATTTTGGAAGGTTTTTATTTCTTCTTTGATTTTGAATAAAGTGAAAAATTAAGTATTAAAGGAAGAAAGATTTCCATTAAATGATATAGGGCATGACAAGGAAAAGTAAAGAGGAAGTTAACAAAAAAGGCAGAGGAAAAGGCAGAAGAGAGACTAAAACAGATAATGTGAGCAGACACAGAGAAAAAAAGAGGGCAGAGTATAACAATGAGAAAGACAGAAGAGTAAATCCAATTAATACATTAAAATACATAAAATTGGATTAAAGTATGCAATATCAAAAAGTGAGGAAAACTGTGAAGTAAACACAGAAGAAAATAACAATGAAGTAAAAAACTTACATTAAAGATTCTAAAAATATTCCTTGCTGAGTTATTTAACATGGAGTGATCTCTTACTGGGGGTATATCTCAGAGCCAAGGCAGAGATGTGTTACACAGTTCCTTGGCATGTCTAGGCACCTAATTGCTCTTTGAAGAGTTAGAAGGGGTGCCCCCTGATTATCTGTGGTCTAGAATTGTTCATTCATCTTGATGAATTGACTGATTCATCATTATATAATGACCTTCCTTGTTTCATTTTACTGCTTTTGATTTAAACTCTGTTTTTCAATATAAATATGGATACTTCTTTATTTTGGCTTCTATTTGCATAGAATACCTTATTCTATTCCTTCACTTTCAATCTATGCGTGTCCTTACAGGTGAAATGAGTTTCTTTTAAGTAACATATTGCCATTGTTTTTAATCCATTCTGCCACTCTATATCTTTTAATTGGAAAACTTAAGGCATTTATATTCAAGGTATTTATGGATACCTAAGTTCTTACTTGTTTTCTAATTTCTTTGTAGTTTTTTTCCTTCTTTCTCCCTCCCTCTTTTGTAGTTTTATTTGGTGGTTAAGTGAATTTACTGGTATGTTTTGATTTCTTGCTTATTTTTGTTTGTCTATTACCATAAGGCTCACCAACAAAATCTTCTGATCATATCTAGCTTGAATGACAGCAATTTAACATGAGCATAAGAAGAGAAAGAAACAAAATGGAAAAAGAACAGGAGGAAAATATACTCACAAGAAAACTCTCCTGTTGCATTCCATTTTTCCTCATATTTAAAAATTTTTATATCCCATTTTTACATCTTTCAATATTGCCTATCACTTAACACATTAATATCATTTACTAGTTTTTAATAATTTGTTTTAGTATTTATACTAAGGACTCATGGCTTAAGACTGCTGGAACCATCCATAGGTAATGTAGTTGGAACAGAAATCTAATCTTGCAACACACAAGATTAGAATTGATGCATTATAATTATACAAAATGGTGGGATTCATTATGATATGTTTGTACATAAACATAACATAATTTGTTCAATTTCACTGCCTAGTACCTCCCTTTGCTCTTGTCTTCTCCCTCATCCAAATCTCCATTCTCTATTCTACTGGTCTCCCTTCTATTTTCATGAAAATTTCCTTGCCCTTCTTTTTTTCTATGTTCCACATATAAGAGAAAAATATGACCCTGATTTTCTGAGGCTGTCATATTTCATTTAATATTATGTTCTGTCATTTCATCCATTTACAGGCAAATGACAAAACTTCATTCTTCTTTATGGATGTGTAAAATGCCATGTGTGGGCATGTGTGTGTTTAGGCCTATATCCCTAAACCATAGTTACTGGAGTGTAGTCTGACACTGTAAGATTCTTCCCAACTGTAGGCAATCACCATGGATGTATCAGCCTGAGGCTCCTATGTTACACCTGTGGCCATCAAAACCACCAAATTCTATCACACCCTGAGCCAACACCTCACTAAGACTACCGAGACACTAGGTTAGGATCAAGGCACACAATGTTATGGGCTATTACTGAGGAGGACTCATGGCTTAAGACTGCTGGAACCATCCATAGATAATGTAGTTGGAACAGAAGTATAATTGAGTGGGGACATATGTCTTTCCTTGGCACTGGAACTGTTCCAGAGGCTCTGTTCATAGGCAGGCCTGAGGAGAGGACTATTAGGATCTGCCCAGTGTTAAGTTTCATCAGTTCAGCACTAAGAGCTAGTAATAATGTCCTGTGCTTTCTGCTTTTTCCTACCCGAAGTGAATGGGGTCTTCCACCACTACAATGCCCAAGGTTAGAGTAGTGTTGCTCAAGGTACTTTGCCACTTGGGTTGACTCTCAGCTGAGCTGCAGCAGATTCTCATAGCCACAGGAATCCACACAGTCTCAGGAGTACACCCAGTCCAATGGCAAAGCCAGTGTGGTAATACTGGCTGAAACATCAATCTGTCCCACTGAAACACAGATCTGCCTGGTATTGGGCAGTTTAAGGGTTCAGTCTGTGAGCATTGTCCTGGTGATAGCTGTGCTGTCTAGTACTGGTGATTGTTGGTGGAAAGAGTTGTTTGGCCACAAAGGTTGGTACCAAGCTGGTCCCACCTGAGTCTTACAACTGCAGGGGCCTGCACAATCTCAGGAGAATGAATGCTCCCTAGGTCCACTCAAAGGCTGAACTGATGTGGTCAAAACTCAAGTCTGTCATGCAGACATACAGTCTTTTCCTGATGCCAGACTGGTCTAGAGGCTCTGTCTATGAGTTCTGGCCTGCATATGGGACTTTCATTTCTACTGGGTGCTTGATCTCACTTCGGCAGGCCTGGCACTGGGCCTTGAGACAAAGCCCTATGCTAGCTTTCCTGTCTTGCTCCCCAGCAAGTAAAGTCCTACTCTCCATTCTGCTGCCCAAGAATTGAGGAGGGGAGGTAGAGGTAGTCTCTTTGTCTAATGTAGTTTCAGTGTTCAGTCCAGGGGTACTGGCCTGGTGGTAGGGGGTTATGGAGCTCTGCATAGTTGGGGTTTCACTGTGGCAGGCCTGGTACTGAGTTTCAAGGCCAAGACCTGAACATCTTTCTCCCTCCCCAAAGTGGGAGGTGCTTCTCTATGCTCTGAGCTGCTTGGAGTTGGAGGAAGAAGGTAAGGATAAGCCTTTTATCCTGCAACCTTTTAAAAAAATTGGTTCTTTTTAGTTATTCATGACAGTAGAATTCATTTTGATAAAATCATGGAATATATCTTATTCTGCTAAGAGCCACAGCAAAGTAATATGATGCATGGCATTTTTGGTTGAAAGGTGAGCCAGCAAGCCATTGAGATGATATGATTATGTTAAGATCTGCATTCATATGGATGTTGGACTCCTGCTGTCCACCTTGGCCTGCTAGGGACTCCTGGAGAGTTCCCATTGGTTGGGGAAGTGTGGTAGGAGGGAATTCCGGAGGAGAGACTTCCTGTTGGGGTGCCGGAGAACGCTGCGGTGGGTCACTGGGTCAGTTGGCAATCTTCCCGGGAGCGTAGGGAGCATACGGGGCATTGGTGGCAGTTTCAAAAATAAAGTTTGTTCCTGCTTGAGTGGCTCATGATTTTGCACCCAGCCAGACTGTGGCATTATTCTAGTTAGGACCCCATTCTTATGGATGTACATGATGGTGATGGGATTCACTGTGGTGTATCCATATAAGTACATAGGGAAGTTATTTTGGATTCATTCCACTATCTTTTCTTTTCCTATTCCCCTCCCTTCTCTTCATTCCCCTTTGTCTAATATCCTGTAAGCTTGTTAAATTTTTAAATCCTCCTTCCTTCTTGCCTTCTTCAATGCATTTTTTGTTTTTGTAAATTAGGTCTCTCTGATTTTGTAAATCAGCCCTCTCACCTGATTTCATTAGTTCTTGTCCTGGTAGTTGGTGCATTAATAGCTATTCAACTTGGTAAATCTTTGGGGAGAGATTACAGGAGGATCTTATTAGGCTGTAATCTTGCTCTACCTCCCATTATCTTTTGTTATTTTTTTCTTGCTGATGCTATTATAATGGAAATGGTTTCTTAATTTCCTTTTTGGATTGTTCAATGCAAGTGCACAGAAATGCAAATAATATATGTATATAGATATGTTATCATGCAATCTTGTGGAATTTTTAAATCAACACTGATATTTTCTTGGGGGTTCTTTAGGATTTTCCATATGCAAGACTTTGTTGGCTGAACATTAAACTGTTTTAACATTTCTTTACAGTATAAAATTAGGATACATTTTTATGAGCCCATTTTGTAGGGGGAAGTAAAATATCCCAATAATTATTTTTCTTAATTTTCTGCTAGTTCCCATGATTCACTCACCCAGTCTCCAGTTTAACCCATTCCTGTACATACCCAGCACTCACTTTTGAGACCATTCAAGTTTCATCCCAGACTGTGTAGAGAAAACCTTCACCATTTCCTGCTGCTCCTGGGAGAGGGTAGGCATGGAGGTGGAAAACAGTGCAGGCATTGGGATGGAGAAAGAGCTCTGGATCTCATCACGGCTGGCATTCCTCACAATCAACTCATCATTCATGATGCATATACTGGAGGAAAAATTGACCCTCAGACAATAGTAGAGATGGACAATCCCTCACTACCAATGACAATCCTACATTCACTGCCACTCAGTAAACAAGATTCTTTCCATATCCCTACTCTGCATGGTTTCCTTGTCTGGAAGCCTCCATCCCTCCCACACTGCCTACTTTTGGAGGGACTATCTACCAGCCTGACCAGAGTTTTAGACTTAACTCCACTGCGTTTATTCTGCACAACACTCGAACTTCTGTTTTCAGAAGAAGACATTGAATCAGAGATAAGTCATGTGTCTTGACCCATGTTATATAGGTAGCAAGTGTTGAGGTCAGAAAGAGAGGTCTATCCCAAGTGTCAATGCTCTTAAATACTAGGTTAGACTTATCCTTGAACTAATCTGTTGACTTTCCCCAATATTAAGAATACTCTGAGGACTGCACCATCACAGTACTATAATTCTGGCCCCACGATGGTGTGGTTTTTCCCACCCATAACTTAGAACTTACCTGGAATTGTTGGTAGGGATAGCAATGAAGGTCCGGGTGAAGGCATGAACACATCCTTGAGACTTTCCTTCTGCTTCAAGGACAGCAAACAATACCCCTTTAGAGATGCACATACTTCAAACAATGTTTCCCATCAGGGTCTTCTGCTGAAGGGGGCCAGACTCAGACAATCATTCACTTGGAGTTGGGAGGCATGACAGGAATGGAGGACAACAACTGGAACAATTAAATCCCAGTGATGAATCCCTTATCACACGTTGGGCCATGTGAAAACCACTTCAAAAGTTTACTTGATCTTTCTGTCACATCTACCAGAGAAATGGGCTCTGTAAGCTCTGATTTGCAAATGGGGAAGCAGAGAGTAACGGATCCAAGACTATAAAGTAAAGACCTTGTAGAACAGCCATCAACATCCAACACCTATGTCTCTAACACCTGAGCTATGGGACAGACAATCATGGACAATATTCATGCCAGGATGGTTTGTGGGATAGTGTAGGCAGGAGAACATAGAGAGAAGAATAGAACGGAAAGTTCCAGCCAGAACTGGAGAAGCTGGAGAAGTTCTGAGAAGGAGGAAGCAGTAGGGGATCTGAGTAGGGGGCCAAAAAGACACTCACCTTCCTTGAACACCCCATTCACAGAAAAGCAGAGCATTGTTTCCTAAAGGGAGAAAACGCAAGAGCTCAGGATTTTGCTTAATCTCTTTCCCACCTCCAGTGTTCAGGGAGGAAGCAGGTGCTCACCGTCTGGAACCACATATCTACCATAAGGCAACTGAAGTCATGCTCAGTTTTGGGCAACACACTGAGGTAGTCCACGATGTCATGTTTTGTGTGTTTCAGCAGTTGTCTCCTCATGTCTGTAGAGAAAACAGAAACAAAAATAGGAGCAATACCATACCCTGGCCCTTGGTCCTTAAAATTGTTGCCTGTCATGCCCCCTTATGCTACCCAGTCTTCCCCCTCTCACACTTACTGGAATCCTTGAGCTTCTTCATATTCCTACTATACTTGAAGTACTTGCACAAGCTATTTCTAGGAGAAAAAGAGGAATAAGAGGGTGGGTCAGCCAGTGTGTTTATTTCCAGAACTCATATGTGTCTGTGAGAGGGTTACACCATCCTGGACCAGAGCCTGAACTGTGATACTCACGGGGCTGGGTCCTTGGGGTTGAAGGGAATGGTCAGAGAGAAGCAGGCCTCATCATGGTAAGCACTAAGTAGACCCTGTCGATCTCCATAGTCATAGATCAGGTAATATCTATTGGGGAGCAAAGGGAACAGGCTATCTCTGTGGCCTAACCCTCAAATGAGACCAGAAGACTCCTATGAGCAGACTGGTGCTATGGAAGCCAAGCCTGTCCCAAGCCTTCCTCTCCTCAAAGTCTCAGGGGGAACTTACTCCTGTAGGAATTGCAGAACTAGATTCTTTAAGGTCTCAGATCCTTTATAGCTTTCCTGGAATAAAAATTCATTTTAGACTCTGTGGTGGATAAAGTCTCCCCTGCAACACCCCCATCTCTCTTGGTCCTTCTTCCTCACCTTGCAGGGTTTTATTAATTTGGGGGCATCAGGGTCAATGACAACTGGTGTGGATATCTCCTGGCCATCCTGGAGAAGGAAGAGGAAGTCAACAGTGCAGCTCAGGGTGGTGGCACAGTATGAACAAGGAGTTGAACACGCCCAAGGGGGAACAAGGGCCAGATGCTAGGTAAAAAATGGCCCTGGAAATTCTGTGGATGAGATCACACTAGGCATCTACATCATGAGCTGTTGGGAATCTCTGCCATTATATGCAACCTGTAGGTGAGTGTGCATGCATGTGTGCACACATACATGTGTGTTCTTCCTAGGGAAAATGTCCATGCCAGGGAGAATCCATGCCCTTTAAGATGGATGAGGGTCTGGTGCACACATAATCTAGGCAAGGCCCATAAGGCCTGGGGCCAGCGGGGAGGTCAGGTATGTGAGTAAGGAGATAAGACCGGAAGTGCATACTTACCAGGCGTAACAAATTGGGGAAACAATCCTGGATAGCACTGTGCAAATGAAAAATCTAATGAAGTGAGGTGACAGTGGAGGGTTGTGCACACTCTCTCCCTTTTGCTCTCCTCCCTCTCCCTCCCCCTGGGTACCTCCCATCTACACTGGCCTGACCCCCTCCTCCAGGGCCCACCCTGCCTCCCTTACCTTATTCCAGGTCCCCCCATGGAAGGCTCTGAAGGGAGCAGGGAATGGGGTGGGAGACCAGGGCTCTGCTACTGTGCTGGGTGTCCAGCCTTCTGTGGGGCATGGCCTGGCCAGACCAAGACCAGGTCATACTCTCGCCTCCCAGGATAGGATGCTGGGTGGGGTGGGGGTTTGGTGATTGAGGCAGGCAGGGGAAGGCAGGGGTATGGCCACAGAAAGGGAGTGAAGGCAGGGGAGGGAGAGATGGTGATAGAGGAAGCAAAGCAAAGGGAAGGGGAAGATGCTGCCCCCTGGTGCTGGAGGTCAAGATGGAAGTAAGAAACCAGCTGTCCTACTGCAGCCCATTCCTTCACCTGCCCCTGGCTGGCCCTGCAGCCCCAGGCAGGAATGCAAACATGTACCTGCTGGGCTGGGGCCCACAGGATGCAGGTTCAGCCTCTGTCTCCTGTGTGGGCCCAGAGGGGGCCAGGTATGGGAAAAGGAGCCGCCCCCACAGGAGGTGTCATTCCCAGCACCAGTAGTGAAGAATCAGGCACCAGCTCAGCATGTGACAGAGGGTCTGTGGCCCCCTCTTATGAGCACCAGGTTCCCTCATGGTGGTCCCTGTGCACCTGTGCCTGTCTGAGTCAGTGTCTTGCCCAAGGAAGCATCTTGACTTGGGCTACCCAGGGCTGCTCTGAGGGACCAGGTTGGATGTGGGATGTGGAGTGGGGGAGAGAGCAGCAGTGCCCCTGAGTGGCCTGTGCTCCCGCCTCCTCCTCCTCTTCCTGCCCCTCCTTTGCCCTCTGCCTTCCCCTCCTGTCTTGGGAAGGCCTCTGCTCGCTGTCAGTGGCCCACCTCTGGCTCCTTGACTCAGGTAACCCAAGTTTCTCCCCAAGGAGGAAACAGTTCCCACCAATGGCCTAGAGGAACAGATGTTGAGATGGTAGCCACCCTGGTCCTCAGCATGGGCATAAAATTTCCATGTCAGCCTGGGACAGGAAGGGGGACTTTTCTGGAGCAAGGGAAGAATAGCCACTCTTAGGACAGGGGAGGGAAGCCCAAGTCCATCTTCGGAGGGCTTGCTGGAGGAGGTCAGTACAGAGAGGTGGGAAACACACCCCAGCCCAGGTGAAAATGAGAGGCAAGTCAGAAGAAGGAAAGTAGACCTGTGAGCATAGCTGAGGGACATAGATAGAGGATAGGGCGTGGCCTGTGGTCCTTTCAGAGGACCAGGGCTGCATCCTCCTGCAGACGGGGACATCAGGGGCAGCTCCGGCTCCCAGGAAGCAAAGGTCCCCGTGAAGGGTGACAGGTGTTACCAGGCATTATCTACCTTACATAGGCAGACTGGTCTGGGAAAGTACTGCACAAGGGGTTCCCTTCTAGCCACAGCTCTTCCAGCTTCAGCCCTTTCAGCTTGTCCAATTCCTTGGTGGTCCTCAGCTAAGAAAGATGGGGAGGGAACCAGTTAAGGAGGGCCAGGGAGAGAGAGACACCTGGGATCCTACATGCCAGCCCCTTGAATCCTTACCCACAAGTGCCTTTGTCTGCCTCTTGCCAACACCCTGCTGTGCACTACCAGCCACCCTCAACCCAAATTTCACCTGGCTCTCTCTTCTCACCTCGTTTTTGGAAAGGTTTAGTATCTTGACTTTGGGAGCCTTCTCTATAATGTCAGACAGGCCATCCAGCTGGTACAGTTTGTTGTTTTGCATGTTCAAGGACAACAGCTTTTGGGGAGGAAGTGTTAGAGTGATGGGGATTATCTAGCACCTGGGAGACACATCTGCCCTGAACACCATCCCTTCCACCCCTCTACCTAAATACCAAACCTGGGCCTAAGGTCTCACCTCAGGGAAATTACTTTCAATGATCTGCAAGGTGGCAAACATGCAGTTTCTTCGATTCAGGATCATGTGAATGTCATGGCCCACCAAGTCTTTGGGAAGCCAAGACAAGGGAATCAGAAGGCTAAGAGGGGTCCAGCTCGATCAATGTCAGCACAAACCCCTCCCCAAGTTTCCATCCCTATGTCCTCCTCCCAGGAAGAACCCTCTGCCCTCACCTGCCCTAGGATTACTGTGGTCAGCAATACCTGAGTCAAAACGGAGCTTTTGGAGGTTGAGAACTTGCTGGGAGACATCATATCGTTTGCTCATAGTCAGCTGCAGAGACAGAGATGGAAATAGCAGCTCTTAGTCTATAGGGATGGGGACAGTGACATCAGGGGGTAGGGGAATGGGTAGTTTCTAAGAAATGGGCATATAACTTGCTTTGAGTCTACACTACCTTTAGCTGCTCCATTTGTTCTGGCGTGAACTTATTCTGCATAGAGTAAGGTACAGCAGAAGTATTGACAAAGACAGATATCTGTGGGAAGGAGAGGTAGGGTAAACATCTGGAGTTCTAATCCTAAAGATAACAACCATGCTCTTACTCCAAGACAACATGATACAGGGAAAGCCCCTAGCACACACCTTTCGGTTCTCCTCATCACAAATCTTGTAGCTGATATCCTTTAATGCAGAAGCAGTTTTAACATCCTGTACAAAGAACCGGGCCTGATTTCTGATGTAGTGGAACTACAGTGAAGACAGAAGCAATGGTGTCAGATGACAATGGCCCCTGCTGAGCCAGGCCTCTCCCCCTCCCCTGTGCCCACTCAGCTGGCTTCACCATCCTCTCTTACATCCACCGGGGTGAAGGGGACAATGCAATGGCTCTGGACTGTATTCATTAGCCATGCCTTGTCATACTTTCTCCCATGTGGAATCTAAGGATAAAAAGAAAGAGTCAGAGAGGAAGGAGACAGCAAGGAATTAGGATGGAGGACAGACCCAGCCAAGTGCTATTTTCCAATATTCTATCTAGCTTTAAAGTACTTCTAAAGGGACCACTGACATGATTTCTTGTTTCTGTGCCAAATATGGATTTCTGAAACCTCCTTCTCAGAAGCTCTTCTCCAAATAACCAATGTATGGGTTTAATGTCATCTTCCTTCTATTAGTTTCCAAAATATCCTACTTAGTGCAGACCTTTCCATGACACTCACCGTAACCTTGAACCAGTTGCCCATTGTTTTTCCTTGTGTGTCCTCTCCTGTTTCTCTCTCTTCAGGTTTTGTATCTTTCCACACAGTAATATGGATTTGCTCTTCATTATGCCATTTCCCTCTCTTCTTATTGCGGCGGGTGGTTTGAGTGCTGGCAAATGGAGAGAAGGAGGGTGTCCATCAATGCTAAGAAAGCCTTCTATACCCCTCCCCTCACTGATACCAGGGTCACAATGAGGACTGCTTCACCAGTATGCCACTTCCACTGTTGTTCAGTTTTCCAGTGAGAGAAGAAAAAAAAAAGACCACAGAGAGTAAAAGAGTTGCATTGTCCAAGGGGCTGCTATCTGCAAAGCAGGCTACCTGATTCCTGTCTTATTGTGGGTCTTTGTGGACATACCTTATTGCCACATTTCGATCTCCCTCCTGGAGTTTCGAAGGAAGCAGTTTATACCCAGTATGCTCATAATGAAGATTCTTCCTGCCAAGATTACCCTGGGAAATTTTTCCACCTTTCTTTTTTCCTTGAACAGCACTGTTATCATCACTGATTTCTGAAACTGGTAACAAAAATGCAAGTATAAATTTCACTTAGCCTGATGTTCTACAGCTTCATCTGTTTATCAGCAAATGACATTGTTTCATTTTTCTGCATTGCTGAGTAGAATTTCATTGTGTATATATTCCATATTTTCTTTATCCATTCATCTACTTATGGGCAACTAGCCTGGTTGCATAATTTGGCTATTGTGAACTGTGCTGCTATAAACATTGGAATGCATGTAACTGTATAGCACACTGATTTCAGTTCTTTTGGATGAATACAAAGAGGGTAGAATAGCTGGGTCATATGATGATTCTATTTCTAGTGTTTTTAGAAATCTCCATATTGATTTCCACAGTGTTTGTACTAATTTTCAATCCCATCAAAAATGTGTAAATATTCCTTTCTCCCCACATCCTCTCCAGCATTATTATTTATTTTCTTGATGATTGACATTCTAACTGGGATGAGAAGAAATTTCATGCTAAGTAAAATAAGCCAAACTGACTCAGAAAGTCAAGGATTAAATGTTTTCCCTTATATGCAGAAGCTAGAGAGATTAAAGGAATAAAAATGTGGGGAATTTCAGCAAATTTGAAGGGGTATCAGTAGAGGAAAGGCAGTAGACCAAGAGAGAGGAGGGAAGGGAGAGAAAGGGGAAGAACTTGTGGAATAAAATCAACCAAATTATGCTATGTGCAGGTGTGAGCATATCATAATGAATCCCAGTTTCATGTGTAACTATAATATACTGATAAAAATATACATATATAAATAAATAAAATGAAGGCCAGAAAATTATATGCAGAATAGGGTGAGGGAGAAGAAATGGAAGTGGTAAGTCCTAGGGGATGAATTAGGGTAAATCATGTTATGTGCATATATGAACATGTCACAATAAACCCCACCATTATGTACATTATAATGTACTAATAAAAACATAAAAAATACAAATTTAAGGAAACATTAATTATCCACTTACCATGTCATGGCCCAACAGTGAGTTAAGGCAAGCGAAATGCCAACTTTCCCTAAGGATCAATCACACAAACTCCAGAAAACAAACTCCTTTGTCCAGATATGAGAGCCTTCTCTCATAGGTGACACAATCAAGGGAGATACTATAGACGAAGAAGTAACTCTGTTGGACCTTTTAATAAGTGGAGCAGGATTGGTAAGGATCAAGGATGTGTCTGCCCTTGGGTTAGGCTAGACATCATCTGCACACCAGACAGCTGTTCTACACTTGCCTTCTCAGGCTTCTCCAATCACCACCAATTGCTGGGAGGTAACCTTTGTAACACACCCTGATTCTAATCACCCACCAGAACTCACTGTGAATAATCAGCTAGCCAAGCTTCCCTTGCTGGTATAGTAAAAGTTTTAATGCGAGTTGGGACTAATCTAACATCCTGCTACACTGTCCCTGACACTTCCGCCCTCGCCTTCAACAATACTCAGCTTGAAACGTTCAGAGCAAGCTTTCCTTCTGCACAGCCTGCAATGCTTTCAGCCCAGAACAGGGCTCTTCCTAAACTCTACTCTTCTGTAACAAGAGTCTGAATGACAAACTGGAATGAGTAGCTTCAAATACAATTCCCAAAGGTGTGGGGATTTTCCTGTTCTTCTTTGTTGTTTCTTCCTCCCTCCCTCCCTGCCTTTCTTTTTTTGTACTAGGGATTGAATCCAGGGGCACTTAACCACTAAGCCACATACCCAGGCCTTTTTGTTTGTTTATATATTTTTGAGACAAGGTCTTCCTAAATTGCTTAGAGCCTTGATAATTTGCTGAGGCTGGCTTTGAACTTGCAATCCTCCTGCCTCACCCTCCTGAGCTACTAGGATTATAGGCATGCTCCCCTACACCTGGGCACCAGAGTGATTTTTTTTTTAAGTACAAGTCAAATCTTGTCATTCCTCTGCTCAAAATACTGTAACAGAGGTTTGGAGCCCATCAATATGTTAAAGAGATATGAGTCCAAAATGACAACAAAAGGGAACCTTATTGGTGATATTTGGAGAATGCCAGGAAACCAGCCCATTTCCATGAATGTTCATAAACAAAAGGAAAACTCTGGATGTTAAACTGAAGGTTAACAGGGCACTTTGTCCAGGTATGGAGTTCAGGCAGAGTCTGAGTCATTTTGAGAATATGATTTCATTGATAACATAACTGAGGGGAAAATATAAAAGTGAGCTAGAAAATGCCTATAGCTACAATCTCAGGCAAGGCCCTGTGCTGTGAATCACAGGGGACAGTGAACATGTGATAGAAAGCTACCATGGGCCTTGACAGTCAGAGATGTTGAAGACTAAACACACACAGGTTCACATCCACTTACTGAACTCCCACATCTCAGCCCAGTCCCTGGCTCATGGCCCTGCTGCCAGAACCAAAGGCCCTGACAAGAGTATGAGAAAGGAGCCAGAGTGTCTCTGCTTGGGTCTGCCTAGGTCCCCCTCAGGTGTTTCCTCCCACATCAAAACACTAGTGAGGATCCTTTATGACATGGTATGTGTTCCCATGCTACTTACTGTGTCATTTTAGAACCACACCCCCTCCAATTCCCCCAATACATGGCAACTTCATCCTGCTGTGTGGTAGGGGAAAATGGAGCAAGAAGTAAACTAGCACTTGCCCAGTGCCAACCAACATTTTCTCAGTGTTGTGCGAACTCTAGGTTTGATTTGACCTCCTCACAGAAATGCCACAAGAAGTATATCCACAGTTCCTTTTCAGATCATGAACATGAAGCCCACAGACATGAGGAACATTTACCTGGATTTCTAGCCCAGCAAGTGGAGAACAAGTATTGTTCTCAGGACCCTCTGGTCTGCCTCCACAGTTTAAGTGCTTCTCCAACAACTGCACTGTTCTGAACTTCTAGATCTCAAGGAAAGATTTCTAGGAATGGGTGAGGGATAAGATTTTGTGCTAGTTACTCCTCTTGGGGTAAGAAGCAGATGATTAGGGCAAAGTGGAGAAAGCTCTCTTGGACCGGATGGGAGGAATCTATTTGGGCCATAGGTTTGCAGATTAGGAGTTACTTTGGGCTGGCAGGACCCTAACTAATATTTATTTTATGAGAGCACATGATGTAAATTTGGGATCATCAACAAAACCACTTTTGAGAAGACTACATACATCGCACCTGTTTCTACCTCCATCTGTTTGTCTATCCCAAATTTGGGCTGCAGTGAAAAATAGAACTAAGTAACTCCCTATAGACTAATCCTAAAACTGTAGCTTTGACAATGTCAGAGAAGGAGGCATTTGTAAATACTGCTGACCAAAATGAGGAGAGGCTTTCCCTGAATCCAGCAGACATAGCTTTCTGAACACATGGTATGTGTAGGAAGAATGTTCTGGCCCCACAGGCATGTCTGTGGCACTCAGCCTCGTGACAGACATAAAGGAACATCCTTATCACAGAGGAAGGAAAGTGCACATGTGTGTGTGGGTATGAGTGTATATGCATATGGACACATGGGCATGTATGAATGCTTTGTGTGATGTGCTTCTATACATAGGTTACAGATATGCACATTTCAAATCATGTTGGTAACTGCATTGCCACACAGAACTGGATCTCACTGCAGAATTTCTTTTAATGTGTTACATATTATATATGGGCAAATTATGTTCCTTGTTTTTTTCATTTTTCTTTTTTTTTTTTTTTTGGTACTGGAGATTGAACCCAGGGGTACTTAACTACCAAGCCACATCCCACCCTTTTTCATATTTTAATTAGAGACAGGGTCCTCCTGAGTTATTAGGTGCCTCGCTAATCTGCTGAGACTGGTTTTGAACTTACAAACCTCCTGCCTCAGCCTCCCAAGTTACTGAGATTACAGGCACATGCCACTGAGCCCAGCATGTTCCTTGTTGTGAATGTGCTTTTTAGTGCTATTTTCTTTAATCTTGGTGTGTTTTTAAAATCTTGGTGTTTTAATATTTAGAATGTTTCTAATTAAGAAAGTATTAGAGTTTTCTGTATCAAAATATAGTAGAGCAAAATCCATAGTTTAGCTAGAGTTAGAAAATATCCCTATTGGAGAAGGCTTAAAGACACAGTGGAGCATAGCTTGGTCTTCAGAGTGGGCTCAGGAATTTTGCATCATTACTCTACAGTTTCCCAGGAAATGCACATGAATATTTTTAAAAGTAATTTTTTTTCTCAAGGAGATTAAATGATGTTTACACCCAGACACATTTCCACTAATCATGTGTGACTAATTTCCTACCATATGTTTAACAATCCAGAACTTATACTTTGATGAAGACATTTCAGGTTCTTAATTTATCATGCAAAATATATCTGCCTTAATATATCCACATGATTATATGTCTGTGCTTTTCAGGCTCTTTGGAACAGAAGGATGATGAGGTCAGAGAGTGGCTAATATTGTCAAGAGAGGAGTAGAAATGACTGTCCTTGGAACAAAGTATAGATGGGAAAGAAGAAATAAGAGTACCTGATAGAGAATGAAAAAGCCAAGGGATGGATGAATGGGTCAGGAAGATGAGGGGAGTGTTGGAAAGACCATGAAACTCACACTAAGAAAGTCTCTGAGGAAGTGAATTCATCCTGGAGATATGCACTCCTCGAAAACCTTCCTTTCCACACATATATCGTCTGTCTCTGTTACTTCAAGTTGAACCCCAGAGAAATAGTTCCCACACATTCTGAGAAAGGAGAGGCATTGCAGGGAAACAATGTTCAATGATGATGGGTCTCGTGGTCAGAAAGCTGGGGATCTCAGCTCCCTAGCCACCAACCCATCACTGCCCTACAGACTTTGAGTGAGTCCTGTCCAGTGTTCATTTCAAACACAGAGTCATATGCTATTGGTTATGGACATAGGGACTGATGTTAGATTGATCAGTGTTTGAATCCTGGTGCATAATTCTATGCTCTAGGGCATGTAACTTTGGCTTCAGTGTTAAAGTTTTTTTGGTTTGGGATTTTTTTGTTGTCACTGTCCTTAGGGTCATTTTGAAAAGTATGTGAGTTA